CGAGAGTCGGCGCCAGCAAGTGAGATCCAGTGAGTGGGGTTTATAAGACGGCGCGCTGCGAGAAGACTTCGATTCGCGGCCCGCTCTGAATCAGGGAAGGACCTCCTCGTATTCGTAGGCCCGATAGTCAGTCCGAGCCTACGAATTCTTTTGGAAAAGCGACAGCCTACGCTGCCTCCGACATTACCGAAGGACCTTAGCCTTCCACGACCACAGCTGCCTCCCACATCACCCGGGATTAGTCGGCAGCCCTCCATCGAGGGAGAGAGGACACCAGGATCTGCAGGCGACCAAGCTTGCACCAGCTTCAGGAAGTGGAGGCTACATCGTATAGAGCTGGCGCCGGTGCAATACACCCGACTTCCACTCTTCTTCCTGAGCCAATGGGACATCCGGGTACGGCGATACACTTCACCATCGACGCCGTGGGACCTGCCGCCGCTACTTTCACCGCTAGCGGCCTCACCACTCCGCCTCCGAGATAGTTGGACACAGTCGCAGCCGGCCATACGCATACATCGCGGTACTCAATGTCCCTCACTGGAATTGACGGACAGCGCTACACAACCCGACAGTGATTGGGAGACCACGACTCAGGATACGGCCACACAGATGAAGACGGTCAGCAAAGAGCCCAGCTACACGCCACCAGGGACTCCGGCGCGTACCCTCACCTGTGCTGCCGTATATCGGTTCCCTCCGAATCACCACCACCGAGCCACGTATCACTTAGCGGGAACGCTCTCAGCGTTATCCCTTAACCGGCCCTTTTCAGGGCCACCAGAACTTAGATAATTAAACATTGTACATAGACTGTAAATATATTTTCTTATTGTCAACCAGAAAAGAAGTCGCCTGATTGACTTCACCTAATTACGCTCTACCTATCCCTTGCGTCATCCTCCGAGGGCGAACACGCCTCTATATCTACCCACAATTAGTATTGTTATGGTTGCAGGCGACACATTGTTTATGATATTCAATTTTTTTTAAATGGAGTTGCATTTTAAATTCTAGTAAGACACATGCCAAATGGCACATTTCTCAAGCATCTTTCATCTATGATCACCTATGACAAACATCTGTGTAAGAGTATACACATATACACAAATCAACATAAATGACTAAATAATTAATCAATTAACAAAATAAGGAAGGCCAATTGGAGCTCAGATGCAGTACTTGAGGCGTAAAAAATATATTTTATTCAAACTACTATGTAGTATACATGAAAATCAAATGTTTCGACTCATCTCGAGTCCTTCTCAATGAAATTGAAAAAGATTAAGTGAATAGCAATGTTTCGCGAGGTGGAACAATACGATAAGCAATATATAATAGTAGATAAAACGGATTAAATAATTTATCTTAGAACGCATGTGATATGAATGCACACAGAGTCTTATAATACAAGAAAAATGGTACGTAAGACTTTGTATACACTCATATCACATGTATTATAAGACTCTGTATGCACTCATATTACATGCGTTCTAGAGATATATTATTTAATCTGTTTACTTTTTATCTACTATACCGCTTATCGTATTGTTCCACCTCGCGAAACATTGCCATTCACTTAAACTTTTTTAATTTCATCGAGAAGGACTCGAAATGAGTCGAAACGTTTGATTTTCATAAATACTAAATAGTGGTTTGAATAAAATATATTTTTTATGCCTCAAATACTGTGTCTGGGCTTCAACTGGCCTTCTTTATTTTGTTAATGGTTTATCATTTGAGCTTCATCGAAATTTTTGTTTTATTATTTTATTACAATACTAAATAATTATATTTATTTTTGTTATTGATAATGCTAACTGTTAGCAAAAATGTTATTTTATTAAAAAAACATTTTTAATATAATTGGCAATAAGTAAATAAATGTATATACATATATAGTATATACAGGGTGTCCTAGACCACCCGTACATCTCTTTTCTTTCAAAAACTAAGCATTTTAGAGAAAAACCATTTAAGAAATTAAATGTGTCTTAGACTTGACCTTAACGATGCTATCTAAGGTCAAACCAATGACACCATCTTATGTTCCCCTCAAAACCATACAATTTTTGTTCAAAACGTTTTTCTCTAAAATGCTTAGTTTTTGAAAGAAAAGGGGTGTACGGGTGGTCTAGGACACCCTGTATATCCGGTAAAAACACTGTTTTGTGTAATAGTATAAGGCGGGTAACAAAAAATATAATGTAAGTTACTTATATGATATAACTGTAATACATATCACATACGTATTATTTTGAAATTTATAACAGAACTTTAATAAAACATACGAAGGCGGTAAAAGGCAATTGAGAGCCAGCACGGTAATTTCTGCGCATATGTTTTATTACAATCAAATTACATTGATATTTTAACCAAATGATGATAAGCATAATCATAAAAAGCGTACGTTTCGATCCTTTTTTTGGACTATCTTCAGCGCAATTACACAGTAAATGAAATATATTATATTAAAAATGTAATAATAATAATATACTGAACAAGAGTAACTTGGTACGTACCTCCTGCCACCTTAAACCTTCCCCCCTCCCTCATTTTAGTCTGCGGCGAACATCTGTACCAGCGTGGATGCTGGTAATCTGTTCATTAGAGACCACTCCGTGGCGATGGTGGAAGATCGGATTATTAATTGGGAGCAGAACAGGAGGCTGCTTAAACGAAATAGTTTAGGATGGGCTACTCGAAGAGACTTCAATGCACGGATGGTCAGTTTCTACTTTGTCTTCGAGCGTTTATACTGGCACCACATACCCGTTGTGGACATCGTCCACTTCAAATACATCTTTATCTCAGAGATGCTCTGGAGACGTAACTGGGTGTGTCGTCTCTCGTGGTAATCGGCATTACATCCATTGACCGAGATTCCAACATCGTTGTAGAGTCGTGTATATACTGTGTCATAAAGTGTGAGGTCTGAATAGCTCAATGGTAAGAGCAATTGCCCGGAAAACGAAAGACTCGGATTCGATTCTCGATTCAGCTACTCGTATCTCGCATATTTTTTCAAGTCCACAAATATTGTTTTCTAACAATTATTTGTCGAGCTGCAAATGTAAATTCAGAGTAACTTAAAACTAACTTCAGTCTGAAGTGGAGGGGGGATTTAAGGCGGCAGGAGGCACATACCAACTAATCATTCTTCCGTTGCAGCGGCACTGTTGTAGCGGCACTGTTGTTCCAGCCCATCAAATAATTGTTAGAAAATCATATTTGTAGACTTGAAAGAATATGCGACAATATGTTGCAATCTCTCTCAATGGATGCAATCGGCATAACTGCCACGGAGAGACGACATATCCAGTACGTCTCCAGAGCGCTCCAATCATACTAGACGATTGAAAATTGGCGCCCGCAGCCGCTCAGCTATGAATCTTGTCTGATCACCAGTATGTATGGAAGCTTCCACGAGTAGCCCATACTAGTATAGCAATGAGAGTTCTAACCCAGGTCCTCTGAAGGGGGGTGAGGGGCGAGGGGAAACCGGCGGGGGGGAATCGCGTCCTAACCGATGGGCGAGGGGTCCGCGGGGAGGGGAGAGGGGGACCGCGTCCTAACCGATGGGCGAGGGGTCCGCGGAGAGGGGGGAGG